CTCAGCCGCAAGCCGCCGACTCCTGCAACGGAATATTCCTCTCGTACGCCTACACCGGCGGGAGGAAGCTAGCGCCGAACGTGACGGAGCCGGCGGACCAGCCGTACAGGTTCGAGTCGACGCTGAGGGTGCTGAACAACGGGCTAGAGGAGCTGAAGGATTGGAGGGTGTACGTGGGGTTTAGGCACCGCGAGTGGTTGGTGTCGGCGTCGAACGCGGTGCTGGCCGACGGCGCCAGCCTTCCCGCTGCAGTGGGGAACGGCACCGTTTTGAGCGGCTCCACGGTGAGGGATCTGAAGACGGCGGTGGAGACTGCCGGGGACTTGAGTCAGATGCAGGTAACGGTGGAGATTGTGGGGGCTTTGTTTGGAGTGGCGCCACCCGCTGTGCCCATGCCTTCTTCTATAAACTTGGCTAACGATGGATTTGTGTGTGGTCAACCCACTAGTCAAGGTACATAACTATATATACATATATACCTTCTTCTACTCCATGTAATACATGATCGAATTAAATTCAAAATTTTATCTATTTATCACATAAATAAATATTGATCTATAACACAAATATACGGTGACTTGAACCATATAATAATTTTTCTTTCAACATTATCCAGGGAGCAATGAGACTCACGTCTGTTGCACAAGTGATCCCAATTTCAAATCAAACATCTCCACACTCGAAGAGTTCCAACCCCGTCAGAAGGGTGACCTCAGCATCACCTACGACGTCATCAGAACCTATGATTCCAATTACTGGGCAGAGGTCACAATCGCAAACCACAACCCCTTAGGCCGTCTGGATAACTGGCAACTAACCTGGGACTGGAACAACGACGAGTTCATCTATGCAATGAAAGGTGCTTATCCCTCCAACGTTGACTCCTCCGAATGTGTCTTTGGTTCACAGGGTGTGTTCTACAAGGAACTCGACTTCGCCAACGTCTTGAACTGCGAAAGAAGACCAACCATAGTGGATCTCCCTCCATCTAGCTTCAACGACACAAACATTGGTCAAATCCCGTTTTGCTGCAGGAATGGCACCATCTTGCCACCAACTATGGACCCTAGCATGTCATCTTCGAGATTCCAAATGCAAGTTTTCAAAATGCCGCCGAACCTTAACCTTTCCCACCTCACACCTCCTCGTAACTGGGAGATAAAGGGTACCCTCAACCCTGATTACAAATGTGGCACCCCTATTAGAGTCACTCCTAGTGAATCTCCCGACCTAACACACCCTCCTTCCAACAAATCCGCTATTGCAAGTTGGCAAGTTGTGTGCAACATCACCAACACAAACCGTGCCAACAAGTGTTGTGTTTCCTTTTCAGCTTACTACAACGAGTCGGTTATCCCATGCAACACGTGTGCATGTGGATGCAACAACAACAACGTGGAGAGGACATGCAGTGTTACTTCACCAGCCATGTTGCTTCCACCGGAGGCACAACTTGTCCCCTTTGAGAACCGAACCGAGAAGGCTGTGACCTGGGCTGGGTTGAAGCACTTGCACGTGCCCAACCCCATGCCTTGCGGTGACAACTGTGGCGTGAGCATAAACTGGCACGTGTCGACGGATTACCGTAGAGGCTGGACCGCGAGGGTGACGCTTTTCAACTGGGGTGAGACTAGTTTTGCTGACTGGTTCGTTGCGGTGGAAATGGAGAAGGCTGCGAAGGGTTTTGAGAAGGTGTATTCGTTCAATGGAAGTGCGTTGGAGAGTGTGGAAAACACGATATTCATGCAGGGGAAGGAGGGGTTGAACTATCTTGTGGCGGAAACGGATGGATCTAACCCTCGGAGAGATCCTAGGGTGCCGGGGAAGCAGCAATCAGTGATATCGTTTACGAAGAAAGCTACTCCAGGAATTGATGTGGTTGGTGGTGATGGGTTTCCTAGTAAAGTGATCTTCAATGGGGAGGAGTGCTCTCTTCCTTTGGTGTTTCCTAGCAGTGGTGGGAGAAAGGAGGTTTCGTTGAGCACTATGATGTTCCTGGTGCTGTTGTTTTCGGTTTTCTTCGTGTGGCAATAGTGGCATTGTTTGGTTGATTGTTGTTTTATGTAGTGACATCATTGCAGTTGCAGATAAAGAGAAAAGAAAATGATGCATGTTGTAAATCCATTTTGATGTTGAGGCAATCCCTGCTTAACTTGTATGATTCTTTATACGGTACTAATACAGAAGGTTGTTGCTAGAACACAAACTTCATGATTGCTCTTGTGGTACAGAGTTAACATTTATGATTCCTCTCTTGCTACAAGGCATGATAACCAAAAGATAATCCACCAAAAATTTAAGTCTAAATGGACAATATCATTACCCACCACCAACTGTTGTACCGTAGAATTATGTTAGATTATATAGAGATAATTTTTTAACATTTCATGATTATCTAAAATATCAAGTATAAATGGTGTTGGCAATAAAACCCCATTTGAGAACCTAATCCGTGTCATGGGCATTTTGTGGGTGCTGTAATTTTCATGAACAAGTAATATCCAAGTACAGAAGCAAACAGAAAAAAAAAAAAAAAAAATGGGCAGACTGAATGTCTTGAGCAACCATTTGGAATATGTACATACTTACAGAAGTCCTTTGCTCAATTTGAAAAAAATAAAATAAAATCGGGAAAAAGGGAGCAAAGGAAAAAATATTTCATAATGTGTTATTAAAGTTAAAATGCTCCTACAAGTCTGCAGGTGTATCAATTCAAAATCTTGCTTCTGCAGTTCTGCCCCTAAACCAATGTCTTCATGTACACCTTTACGATAGAAGCTTGCTAGAACCTTTTCAATCAAAAGCAGACAAAAAATTGCAAATATGCCTTTTGCATACATGCATTTAATGTTTGTTGTTATTCATCCTGGTCAATTACTTAAATGATCTTGAGCATCCAGACTAAATCAAAATAACATACTACTCCCTGAAGCCTGAAATTTTTTACATCAACTAAATTCTATTTGCTGAAAAATTTAAACCAAGGTCTAAACTAACTAATTGCAGAATGACTTGGTTCATGTGGAACGCCAACTATTTACATTGGCGACTGCAATTAGAAAGACAACTGGCCTTCTCAGTTCTAAGTTGAAATGTTGTCTAAGGAATATCCATCAAAGTCAAACTCATCTTCAACTGGTCCAATGCCTTCTTGCTGCCAGAAACACAGATGATATTGATTTGTTTATAAAGGAAAATTATATGAAAGCATATAAATATTCAGGGCATGCAGAAAGGGAAAGAAAGACCAACCTGTTTCAGAAATGCACTGATAAGATCCTCCTGACCATATTGCTCGGACATCATGTTATTAATCTGAGTGCTTTGATCAGGAATTCTTTCATCCTTAACCCTTAGTGAATTGTCAACAAGAAGGTTATTGAGGGGTTGACCAACGTTTTGGAGATTACCTTGATGCATGCCTTCACCTGTGGAGAACATAGCTTTTCCAATAGAAGTAGTATCTCTATTTTGCACAGTTTGTTGCATAGAGGGAAAACCCTGATGGACTAAAACTGATGGCAAGACATCAATGTTACCTTGTAAAGGATTTGCATGCTGAGAAGCATCATATGTCATGCCTGTGTTTGTTAAGTCCCAATCATTGGACTTCTGATGGTTGAATTCGTTGAACATATCATAATTTGGAACAAATCCACCGGCTCCTTTAATATCAGAGGTACCATCTTCATGAAACATGCCTTTTGTTGGCATACTGGTTATACCTGGAGAGCTTCTAAGAGGGAAACTATTGACAGACATTTCATTGCTTTGGCTCATGGGAAAACTCAACAATGAAGAGTTTTGTGGAACCGAATTATAAGCAGAAGTTATGTTTCTGTTGCCAACAATTCCATTTCCCAAAACACCATTAGAAATACCATTTGTTACTGTAGGTTGAACCAAAGATGATGGAAACCTGGATAAATGAGAACCAGCATTTTCACTTAGCATCTGACCTCTTGGTTGAGACTGAGCCATCTGCATCAACAAGGGGTTGTTCTGTGCAGCAGGAGCATTGAGTCGCATATTCAAGTTACCAAGGGATTGAGAAGATTGGTGCAAATTGACAAGTTGTTTTGGCTCCATGTTGGTAGGAATTCCATGAAGCAAGTTCATTGGTTTATTGTTGCTTAAATGTTGCATTTGCCCTTCTCCAAATCGTAATCTTGGGCTCTCAAAACTGAAAAGGTTCTTTTGGTCAGATAGAGGCATAGGCACACCTGGTTTAGCAGTTGACCTGCCAAGCCCTGCGGCTTGAAGCTTGGCCAGACTTTGTGACTGGAGCTGGCTGGCAGCCGAAAATGCTTGAAGATCAATTCCGCTGATTGAAGTTGCCCCAAATGATGCTTCTTGTGAGCTCATGAAGGAGTTGTTCAAGCTACTCTGCTGATGTGAAACTCCACTCAGCCTTCTAAGATACAAACGGTATTTCTGTACCAAAAACCAGATAGAAAATGAGTTAACTCCTTCAAATCAACTAATAGCATAGATGACCACAACAAAGAGACAAGTATGGATAACATTACTACGAGAATCTCTACTTTACAAAAAAAAAAAGCATAATGATATCATACCTGGAGATGGCTGGCAACATTTTCTCTGGTGAGCCCAGGAACATTCATCAATTCCAAAATCCTTTTAGGAACAGCTTCTGCAGATAAATATCAAATTTAAAACAAAAGATAAGACCTTTTATTTTTCAATAAATCTCTAATGAATCAGACAAGATATCATCATAACTTTTCATATGTAAGATATTCTGGAATTTTGTGGGGGTGAAAATAAAAGTTTAAAACTAATTTAGAGATAAAAAACAAGTTTGTAATGCTAAAGTCACTATGGGATATTGATTATTTATTAATATTACAGGACAATATATAGTTGGAAAACCATTTTGCCTATTTGTGGAAAAGTCAGGACAGCCTGGTAGGGGTTATCCCAAAATATTGCAAACGAATCCATGAGATGCAAGTAGTAATAAAAATGTTGATATGATGCTTTTCAACATCAGACATAAAGAATCCCAATATCAGAACTAGTGTGAGGCATTGTTTACTGTGTCAGATAAGAGAGCATGGAAAAGAAACACAACAAAGATGAAACAGAACATTTTCTTTTTGCAAGGAGGTGATTGAGGGATACATACTTTCAATTCCAAGTTGATTCACAGCAGCCATGAACTGCTGATGAAGCTCAACAGACCAAACAACCCGCGGTTTCTTCAACGTGGAGGAATCATCCCTCTCCTCTCCTTCATCCTCCTCATCCCTCCTTTTCTTTGAGCTTTTCCCCTCATTCACCGAGGATGAGTAATCTCCATCTTCAGATCCCTTCTGAAGCCGATCTCCTTCTTCCACACTACCCGATTGCTCCACATCTTTTGCCCCATTCTTTCTCTTCCGAATCACATGCTGCCATATATTCTTCAAAGCCTCAATACGCACTGGCTTAATCAGGTAATCACAAGCACCATGAGTCACCCCTTTCATCACAACACTTTTTCCATCATCAGCTGACATCACTGAAGAAATCATACACACACAAGTTGTCAGTTTATATCAATGCAGTGCCTCTCAATACACACACTAACAAATCGAAATTCCAAAACAATGCTTACTTATAACGGGAAGGTCCATCTCCAACCCAATAAGCTCCAAAAGTTTAAATCCATCCATATCTGGCATATGGACATCGCTAAGAACAATATCAAACCCATTCTTGTTCTCTCTCAAAAGCGACAATGCAACCTCAGCTCGCTTGCATTTTGTCACTGAAATGAAATAAACCCAACAAGCAAATCGAATCAAACAACCAATCACCACCCAAATCAAGATCATTAAAAAAAAAAAAAAAAAAAAAACACATATTCATA